CAGTATCAGAGAAAGCCTAGCGTAGTGAGGCTTATACTAGCTAGCTCCATCTGAGAGACCCTCAGAGCAAAAAAACCTCACTGGGTCTCCCGGCCTTACTGGGGGTGTCTCTATTTGTTGGGGCAAGTTAAATTTTCTCTTAATAATTAAGAAAATGAAAAAAAAATAATTAAGAAAATGTTTTATGATCACCTGACCACACTGGTTGACAAGGAGAGTTGTCAAGGGTGACTGACTCTAAGGCTTTGAGATGGAGGAACCAGGATAGGAAGCTGATGCCATAGGGAAACGAGGAATTCCAGGAAATGGGCCAAGTTTACCCAGAGATGTTATGCACGAGCTAAGTAAGGATGGGACATGCAAGTAGGCTGGAGTCAGCTGGGGGGAAAGGGCACAAGGCAAAAATCTGCGCAACTTCAGAAGGCACAGCTGCTGCTTACACCATCATATATGTACTCTGAAGGAGTGTGGAGTAAAAACCTTGGGGCTTGATCACAGTCAAGGGTCAGGACAAGAAGAGTCAGTGAAGGAGACCAAGAAGTATTAGACAGGAAAGCAAGGTATCAAAGTTTAGGAAGAACTCCCAGGGGGAAGGAAGGGCTCATCAAATAAATGGAGGATGCACAGAGAATGAAAGTTTAGTCAGATGATCATCAGTGACCTTCAAGGGAAGCTTCTGGAAAGTAGCTGACTGGATGCTGAAGAAGAGGAAGTGCAGGTGGGGGATGGATGCAGTGGCTGCACCTCTCATTTGAAACGATAACAGAAACAACAGAAGTAGTAAGGGAGCTGGGAGGGTGGTGGGTCATGGGGAGAAGCAAGTGATTGAAACTCTCAGTGCCCAATTTCCCATCTGTGAAATGAAGGAATTTGACCAATGTTCTAAAAATAAATAAACTAACATGCTACATAACACTCATGATCCAATTCAGAGCTTCCCAACTACAGCACTGGGAATAATATACAACAAATGTCCACACTGATCCCCCATCTCTGGGGCTGTGTTTGGGGGCCACCCTCAAGCAGCCACAGTCCCCACATCTATCACCTCTAGCCCTGGCACCCTCTTCCATTGATTGGCCCCAATGAGAGGGAACAAGAGCACAGATATTATCATTTCTATGTTTTGAGTCCATGTTCAGGAAGCGTGGCATGCACTGACGTGAGGCCTCAGGAGTACAGTGTGAGGCTCATGGGGGTTTTGAGAAGGATGGTGCTCAAGCCTCCTCCACCCATTCCAGTTGCACCACTTTGTTCTTAGAACACAGCTGCCTTGCACCAGGGGTACCTTGCCCTTTGAAGGTCTTTCTAAAGGGAGCAAGGCTAAGCCCAGGAGGTGGCCTCTAGGATTACCGCTTAAAACCTGTTCTGATAATTGAACATTCAAAGCTGTAGTAACACAACGTGCAGCCTCAGATGTGTTCTAGGTGCAAGCATGTGATGACGCAGACCCTCTGTGTGTGAACTGGGGCTGTCAGGGCTGCTCAGGCGTATGCAGACCTCAGGATCCAGAGTCCTTGTCACATCTGTGTAACTGTGAGAGTATCTGGGATTAGAAGGAGGGCTCTTAAAACAGAACTGGTGTTAGTTGCAATGTCTAAGCTAGATTAAATCAAGATTTCTGTAATCTGTTCAACCAAAGCCAAACACAGAAATAAATTGGATGCTGGGATTGATACACATAAACTGTCATCTGCAACCTTAGATTTAAAATGCTTTCTAGGGGGTGCCTGGGTGGCTCAGCTCAGTCCCAGGATCCAGTTCTGCATGGGCTCCTTGCTCAGCAAGGAGTCTGCTTCTCCCTCTGCCCCTCACCCAACTTGTGTTCTCTCTCTCAAATAAAATAAAATCTTTAAAAAAATAAGATGTTTTCTATTCAATGAAATAGTTTGAATATTCTCACTGATAGGCTTTGAAAGTTATTTGAACTCAGAAAATATATTAATAAAATACTTCTGTAGAGTGAGAGTCGTGCAAAATTGTGCCTTGTACATTTGAAAACCATAGGTGTAGCATGAAGAGCAAGGGTAGATGGAGAGTAGAATCAAACCCTGTCACCACCATCACCTACTAGCCACACAGCCCCAGGGGCATTTGCCCTCCTGGCCTCCAGGTTCACATCTATAATATGGAGCTGATCATATCTACTTAACAGGGAGTTTGTTTTTTTTTTTTAATTTATTTATTTATTTATTTATGATAGAGAGAGAGAGAGAGGCAGAGACACAGGCAGAGGGAGAAACAGGCTCCATGCACCGGGAGCCCGACGTGGGACTCGATCCAGGGTCTCCAGGATCGCGCCCTGGGCCAAAGGCAGGCGCCAAACCCCTGCGCCACCCAGGGATCCCATTAACAGGGAGTTTGATCCCATGAGATATCACCATGTATACTCAGTAACTAGTTCCTGCCCAGATACAGACAGCATTGGAATAGTGCAGATCTCTCAGTACCTCTCATGATCAAAGATATTATCTGCCTGCCAAACAGTAGCTGGGCTGCAGCCAGGGTCAGGGACCAACCAGTACTTTACCTATAGTCCACGCCCTCCTCTGACAACGGACCCAGCCAGCTGTAGTGCCAGCACTTTGAATCCTCTAGGAGGCATGCCAGGGATGCAATAGGGTATGAGGTTGTGGGGTGTCTGTGTGAACTCATGTTTTCTTTATACAATATTTGTTACTTTTTCATTTGTCTGCTAATGCTCTTCAGAGGCTGTGCTAGGCACCCCAACCACAGTGCTTGAGCTTGTGAAGAATTCTGTGGAATGCAGTCTTTCTAGCAGCTGGTGTGCTTCCCTTCTCTCCGAGAACCGCCTTCCTTTTCCATCAGCACAAAGCAAACAAGCACAAGAAGATAGAATTTCTCTCCATTTTACCTGGTACCCCTGAAAGTTACGGCTCACTTTTCAAATACTTTTCTTGGCTTCAGAAGTAAAGGGAAGCTTTTTGTGAAGCTGTTCTTAATTTCTCACTTTTGAAAAAAGTTACCCCAAACAGGAGGCACAGCAATTGTACAGATTCCATTTGATTACTGAGCAGAAGCTACCAGAGGCCTAAGATTAAGTGATAAACATTCCCAGGGGACAAAGCACTGGACCCCATTTAACTTTAATATCTATCACTTAGCACTCTCTGTATCAATGTCCCCAAAGGGGACTGAAAGCCCAGATTATAGGGATTCAGCTGGCCGTGGGAAAGCCCTAAACTTCTTTGAAAGGCAACTGTAAAGTAAACCAAATAGTTGCTGAACCTCTGCCTGTCTCAAGATAGTCTTGCATAGTTTTTTGGGCATTGCAGGTAAGAGAGAAATAAAAAAATAAAAAAATAAAAAAGGAGGGCAGGCAAGAATTTGTCCCTGCCACAAATGGCCAGTTGAAGTCTGGTCTGTGGACACCAGACACTGTATCTAAAGAATTTGTTTGGAAGGAAGTCTTTGGCAACCCTTCTAATTTGCATTCAGAGGAAACGTGCCACATTTTCCACAACAGGTAGCCCAGCCAATACCACCAGGAGGGAGGAAGGTCTCTTCTCTGTGTCTGCAAGTTTATCCCTAAATGCTATGAAAACAGCAGCTGTTAGGGCAAGGGGAACAGAGGGCTCAGAGAGTTAAAGCTTTTGAATAAGCTGGATATCACAAGCCTGACCTAAAAAGGCAAAGACTAGCTATTCCAATGCCTGTCTCAGATGAAGCCTACACACAGCAGCACGGTTATATCAATTGGCCATTTTGTTCAAGTAGGTCCGGGGACAGAATAAGTCCTATGGCCACCCACCATCCAGTGAGGCTGGCCACTGGTGGTTCAGGCCTGGCGAGTGATAACGAACACTTCATACTTCACACTGCCTTACGGTTTACAGAGCATGTGCTCACAATCTAGTCCTATGTGACCTCCACAGCCTGATTCATTATAATCCCTTTACAGACACTGAAATAAGGCTCAGAGGACCAAAGACTCATCCAATGTCCAAGTACCAGAACCAGACCTGGACACCAGGGCTTCTGTAGAAGTTTCCAATCTTGGGCTGCTTTTGTTTCTTTTTTAAAAATATTTTATTTATTTATTTATTCATGAGACAGACACACACACACACACACACACACAGAGAGAGAGAGAGAGAGAGAGAGAGAGAGAGAGAGAGAGAGAGAGGCAGAGACACAGGCAGAGGGAGAAGCAGGCTCCATGCAGGGAGCCCGATGCGGGACTCGATTTTGGGACTCCAGGATCACATCCTGGGCCAAAGGCAGGCACTAAACTGCTGAGCCACCCAGGGATCCCCTGCTTTTGTTTCAAATGGACACCTTCTTCCTATCCTGCTGCTCTCCAGTGTCTCCCATGCCTGGTTATGTAGGTGAGAAGGAAGAGAACTGGGCAGATGAACCATCCTGCTCTGCTCTTCCAGACGGTTATAGGAAATGTTTTTTTCATCAGATTGATCCCTCGGTCCCCTACTGAAGTGAGGAGCTGGTGAAAATAGAGAATGGAAAGTAGGTAATGATTTTGAAGCCAGACTAATGGAAGTGCTGCAACAGATTTTCCATTGCTGAAAGCAACATCTGACTTCCCAAAAAGTTCACTGCAAAATGCCCACCCAGTTATTAAGCAAACAGGATTCACTTACTGTGCACAGGACAGAAATCACTTGCGGTCATATGGAAAAGCAGGCTGTAACAGCAAGGTGGAAAAGGGAAAGTCAACAGGATAGAAATTCAGCGCACAAGAAGGGTTCCAAATTGGAAGCAGCACACTTTATCTGTATTTATAGAGGATGTCCAGCACAGCCGGACATGCTAGGACCCTGCTGATGAGCAGCTCTGTCTTCAGGCATTGCTTCCTTCGGCTGTCAGGGAAGGGGCCCATCTTCGGCAGGAGGCAGGGGGCAGGGGGCAAGGGGCAGGGGCAGGGGAAACGCTGAGGGGGGCCCAAGGCTCACAGGCTTCCTGATTCTTTCCTATCCTCCGTTCTGTTTTCTGTCAACAATGAGGAAATACACCCTAGCAAATGACATCCAGTAATGCTTTAATTAACTGTAGTACTGTGCGCTCCAATATGCAGTGAGAAATCACTTCCAGATGGGGGAAATGAAAGATATTTACACAAAAAGCAGTCCCTTTAAGGAAATTGATATCTCCCAAAGGTAGAGAACTTTGAGGGTTTGAGAGGCTATCTAGTTTGATAAATACTAGAATGAGACTGGAAATTTGGATTTGCTTTATAAAATACATGGGCCTTTTCTGCACGCCAGCTTTTCATGTGACCATGTTTCCAAGTCTATTGTTTAAGTGGCCCAATGCAGTTCTAATGATTTTATTTTTAGAAATCTGACTTGGAGTAGACAAGAAGTGTGAAACACTTGCTTTCACCGTCAGCAAGCTAGTTATTTTGGAGATTTCTCTTCCTAGGGAGAGGAATTGCATTTCCAGCTGTGACCTTCTGGCATTTTCCCTAGCATTCCGCAAACAGAGAACTAGGTTTCCCTGTCCAACAGCAACCTAGGATGGGCTGGTGTAACAGCCCCACATCAGGGAGCAGCTGCAGACCTGCTTGCTCACCCTGTCTGCCCTGTAACTATCACTCGTCTTTGGCAGGCTGCTCTGAGTCCCGTTTGATCTGCACTGAAGAGCCATCCTAGGCATGAGAAAGCAGGTACTTTTTTTTCTGGGGGCCAGTCAAAGTCCTAGGTACCAGTTCTTTTTTTTTTTTTTAAGATTTTATTTATTTATTCACGAGAGACACACACACACACACACAGAGAGAGAGAGAGAGAGAGAGAGAGAGAGAGACACGCAGAGGGAGAAGCAGGCTCCATGCAGGGAGCCCCACGCGGGACCCAATCCTGGGTCTCCAGGATCACGCCCTGGGCTGAAGGTGGCGGCGCCAAACCACTGAGCCACCCGGGCTGCTCTAGTTCTTTGTTCTTTTTTTTTTATTTTTTTAAAAATTTTTATTTATTTATTTATGATAGTCACAGAGAGAGAGAGAGAGAGAGAGAGAGAGAGAGGCAGAGACACAGGCAGAGGGAGAAGCAGGCTCCATGCACCGGGAGCCCGATGTAGGATTCGATCCCGGGTCTACAGGATCGCGCCCTGGGCCAAAGGCAGGCGCCAAACCGCTACGCCACCCAGGGATCCCTAGTTCTTTGTTCTTTAAAAGAGAGAGGAGTGGCAACAGTTTCAATTCCAGAACAGAACTTGGAGGTCAACACACTCTGTCCATTGTGGTTCCCAATTCACTGTTAGGATCCAATGGAATTTCCTCCAGCCTGGGTACCTCTAAGCCAGCTATCAGGAAGTCTGTCCATAGTAAGAACAGATCTTTATCAATTATAAATTATCAACATTTGTTTTAATCCACATGAAGTGGCTTCAGAGTTTTTTTTTTTTAAGAGTTAGAGAAAGTGGTGGGGGGGTGAGGAATGGGTACAGCATCTAATTAGCTGAATAACAGAGTTGTTAGCTACTGTTTTTATCAGAGTACTCCATGTTTTTTTGAAGTGACAGTAATAGAGCAAATTTGTTTGGGGCTTGGTCGTCAAAACTTAAGAATTCTAGTCTGGATGGGGACAGCACAGTTCTGGCCTGGTCTCTATCACCAACACAAGCTTAAAATTTAAACTGCTAGATGTTAGTTAAGAATCTTTACCTGTTGGTAACGGATCAATTGTATAGTAATTATATTCGTTTAGAGAGGCAGGAATAATGTATGTTCATGAAAATGTGCTATAGGAACACTTTGATAAAGCAAATTTCTCTCTAATGCTATGGATTTTAAAAAGGGGTAAACGTTATAATTACCTACTTGCCCAGGCCCCACTCCAGACATACTGGTTCAGAATCTCCAGGCAATTTTATTTGTAAAAAGGGCCCCACGTGATTCTGATGTGTACCCCCAGTTGAGAAACATGCTCTGTCTTTAGAGGATGCATACACAGCATTCAGACCTCATCAATGTAGACATTTTACATAACTCCTACTGACATCTGGTGGCTCCTCGGAGATTACTGACAATATAATAAATCAAGAAAGCGACTTCCTTGGTGTGACCAACAACTGGGGGAAAACAGCAGCTTGACATCTCAAAGCATCATGGAGATGTCCAGAAAATGACTCCTCAGGAATGAACCAAAAAGAGAAGTGTGGCTCTATAAACACGGAGAGTGACAAGAACCAGCTGCAAAAGACCACTGGCTTTCACAGCTCCCTAGTTTGATGACAGAGGGCCAAAGTGGCTGTGCTGTTTGGAGATGGGCTCATCGGCCCATCTTTCAAGAACAGTAAGAGAATATTCACCTCCATTAGTGGCGGCTGGGCTGTAGGATATCACCAGAGCAGCATCACGGCTGTCCTGGCAAAGTGAAATCTTGACAGTGCGCTTCCCTGCTCTACCCTGCCTGGATGCTTGCCCCAACCCATCCCCTACCCGCCCTATCTGCCTTTTCCTTATTTAGCAAACTTTTCCTAAGAGAGCTCAGCCGAGGGCCACACCTCGTCTCGTACTTTCTTCTCAGGGCTGTCCTGAGATGTTCAACACCTAAGAGTCATACTGACTAGCAAGAAGGGACTGGAAGCTGGTGGAGAAATGAGGCTCTGGATCACAGTGGGGCCGATGGACTGAGTCTGGGAGAAGGTTAGTGGAGACAGAAGGGGGACAGCACAGAGTGCTTATGTTAGGAAACAAGAAGGGGAAACACCATCAGTTCCTGGTCTCATTTTCAAACCTTAAAGTTTTCTCCTATGTGGATTTCACAAGTTTTATGGATTTTCAGGAAACTTCCTTTGTCCTGAAAACTCATTTTTGCATGCTATTTGATATCCCAATTTTCTCCCAAGGCCTGTTATGTGCATTCTCTGTAAAGAGCTCCTCCTTCCTTAGCTCCCTCTCCACCTGGCCAACAAATTGTTCAGAATTCCTGAAGAATGCCCACACGAACAGCTGCTGCCCTGATGCTGTGGTCACAGTTAACTGAGGTTCAGTTCCCAGCCAACCTGGCAAATCACACAGCTACCTGCTATGCGGTCTGTTCTTGTACAGCTGTGACCTTCTGGCATGTGACCTTCTGTATGATGTGAGGACTGAAGCAGTTCTTGGAGGCAGTTCTCTTTGCAAAGCTCTGCTGGTGGTGAGCCAGTGGATAGGACTGGCAGGCCAGGGCTCACGTTGCGTTCTGGACTGGGCCAGGCTCCGAGCAGGTGTTTTAAGGTCAACATTCGGTTCCTAAGGTATCCATGGACCTGGGTTCTTTCTCGTTAGTAATAAAGTAATATGTCATTCTGGCACTTCACATCACCTTTGTTGTTTCAGATCATTCTGTAAAGTTATTTGGGTTTCAAAATAAATGAGCAGGAAGGGGGTTAGAGGGCCCAGGCCTCCTGTGCAGTACCATAGCTTCATCTGAGAAGAAACTTCCTAGTTTCTCTTCAAAGAAGGCAATACTTCCCTTAGAAGTCAGGAGAATGGGGGGAATAATAACCTGCTTACATCATACAGTGAGTGTCCCAAGCAGAAGTCTCTCTCCAAGGCAGATATATATAGGTCTAGCCCCACACCTGAGCAAGGAGCCCCATGGCACAGAGGACACCTGTTTCCAAGGTCCAGTACATCCAATCTTCCTGGGTGAGAAACAGTGGGAATTTTTCCTTAGATGTATATCAACAGGAGACTACAGGTTCCAGAGAGATGGGAAGAACGCATTGGCCCAGTCATGAAAATATGTACCAGGAAATGAATCTACAAGGAAGAGTACTCCTGCTTCCATTGCCTTCCTACTGCCAGGCTAATGTCCTACACCTGTAATCTTCCACCTCATTAACTCGGGCCCCAAAGCCAAACCCATAGAGCAGGGAGGACAAATCTTAGGGCCTGGCTACAGAGGAGGAAGGGGTGAGATCCAGGATTTCTCACCCTAATTGCCTGGATAGGCCCAGGAGATAGGGCCACATGCCAGATGGTGTGATTGCAGAGGCGAGGCTGCGAGGCCAGTGACAGCTGGACCAGTTGAAGGCAGCCCAGGACCACAAGTGAACTGCAGGGCCCTTTTGTCTACTACTGCCTATGCTGTAGGAACCCCTTTTTATCAGCCTGCATTTGCTTGGCTTCTTGATTAAGACACAAATTAAGACTGGTCACAGGGAAGACTCATTAACAAACCAAATGTCCAAGGAAGTTTCAAGACTGATGATCTGAGAGTTAGGGAAAGCACAGAAGAGGTGGGGGGCTTCCAGGCAATGGGGTGCTGTGGGTCAGCAGCCAGGGGAAAAAAGCGCCCTTTGTGGACTCCTACAGTCTCTTTTTAATTAGTTTCTCTAGTTTGCGGATGCGAGATGATTCCTGTTCTGGTGTCGGAGCCAGGAGGGACAATGAGCTGGAGCCTTCTGGCCCTGAAGGCGGGGTGGGGAGCCTCTGGCGCAAGAGTTCCAGCATGCTGCTCTGCTCGCTTCTCTTCAGCCCCTGAGGTTGAAAGAGAGAGAAGGATAATCATGACATCTGGCCCAGAAAGGCCTGAGGTGGAAGTATGGTATCTGGTTGTGCAAACGACAGAATTACTCTAGGCTGAGGATGAACACTTTCTTTAGGGGAGTTATCGGCCCAGGTTAGCAGCCCAGGAGAAAAGCAGAGGAAGGAAAAACAGGTAAGAGGAAAGGAGAGAAAGAAGGGGCTGAGAGAGGAGGGACAGGGTGGGGAAGTGTAGTCTTCTTCTCCATCCCATTCCTTCTGCCCCCCCCCCCCCCCAGCTTCCACTGAACAGTGGTTCTCGAAGGGGCATGGAGGTATCAGCAGAGTTAGGAAGTTATTTTCTCCTCAGAAGGATCCCAGGCAAAATCTGGGTGACAGCATGAGGTGAGGCATATGTACTTTAAGAAGGCTCCCCAGGAGCCCATACCCGTCCTCCAAGTTAAGAACCACTGAGTGTGACAAGGATGTGCAAGTGTGGACAAAACAAGACACTGAACTAACCTTCATGTCCAATATCTTCTGGAAGGTTTCTGTGTTGCAGTCTGTAAGGAGTTTGATGTAGTTGTCAACAAACACCACCAACGGTTCATGAGGGGCCATCACCACCTACCAGGAAAGAGAGTCAGGAGTAGGCCTTTAAGGACTCATGACTGGAAAGCAGGGCATCATTTTTCCTTACTTGCAAGCTGACCACAAAATGGATCCTGCCAGATTTCCTTAAGAGACAGCAGGCCTAAATTCAGAAATATCCTGATGGCCTATTTCATCTCAAAATTCAACTACAGCAAATGTTTCTTAAATTTGCTAAATCATAAATATCACCTGGATTACTTTTTAAGTATGGATTTCTATGCTTCCCTCTACCCTGAAGATTTTAACTCAGAAGGCTTGGGGTGGGGTCCCATGTGATTTTTAAGTATCAGGATCATTTGTGGGACACTGTTGGAGAGTCTCCTGTTTTGGGACAGCGGTTTATGATACCTGGTGTCCCAAAACACCAGGTCCTTCTGGTCCTTCTGTCCCAATGCATCTTTACCTCTGAGGGATGGGTCGCAAAAGCCATAAATCTAAGTGGATTTTCTCAAGACACAAATCCCAAAGCTGCTTCACTCTTTTCAAGACTTAAAATCTGAACTTCAGGGCGCCTGGGTATCTCAGTCGATTAAGCATCTGCTTTTGGCTTGGGTCATGATCCCAGGGTCCTTCATCAGGCTCCCTGCTCAGCGAGGAGTCTGCTTCTCTCCCTGCCCCACCCACCCCCGCCAATCTCGTGCTCGCTTGTGCACAAGCTGGCTCTCTCTAGCTTGCTCACTTTCTCCCTCAAATAAAGCAATAAAATCTTAAAAAAAAAATCTGAACTTCATTTAGCCACATTCATTTAAACTGTCAATTAATGTACAAACAGAAGGGAATCAATGGCATCGTAATCCTCAAATTCATTCCTATTTGGCTTTGGAATGCAGCATCTGATTTTCTTCCTACAGTAGACTGGTTTTGTTTTGAACTCCTGACAATATCTCAAGGAGTGGTTCACTCAGAAATTCCCTGTAGTTAGCTCCCCAACTGCAGCTCTCCTCCCCAGTCAGTTATGCCAGCTACAGGAAGAAACAATTTCCTCAGGCTGGAGCTCAAGCTTCACGCAGGAGGACCCTCACCTGGTCCCATGGATGTCCCATGGATGCCTCCCATGGAGGCCCCATAGCTACTTTTCACTCCTGCCATCATTTGAGCCATTGTTTGGGAGACAGACCTGATGAGCCTGCAGGTTCTGCACTTTTAGGAACATTTCATGATAGTTCCATTTGTTCTCTAGCCTCTCTCCTCCCCAAAAAGGCTTCCCTCTTTTCAACAAGGGCAGGTGCAAATCAGATGCAGGTGCTCAAGGCTTTAGGCATTCTCAACATCATCACCCCACATAGAAGAATTTGTTAAATGGAGCTTTAGAAAGTCCATTTGCTGATTAGATTCAGTTACTGCAACATCTGTTTGCAGTTCCTGTATAGTTGCAGAGTACAGAAAGCTAAAGAGGTTTATGTGGAAGGGAGTAACTGATACCTGGGCCGGAAATTCCTGCTGAGAAGCAAAGAGATCCTTGACTTAGACCCTGATTCATAGCGACAACCCATCTAATTTTCCAATCTTGGCAAAATCCAAATGAAAAATTCATTTGTCAGAAAGAATTATTGATCCCCTGAGTAACTGTCCAATGACTTTCAACAATATCTGGTGAGGCCAAAACCTACTCCAGCCAAAGAATGTGGACAATCCTCTGGGACTGATGGGGACAGGCGTTAATCCAAACTTTGAAAACCAGGACTCCTTGGAATAAGTCACCAGATAACCAGCCCCTTGTAGTAGAAACCCCAAGGAAGACACAAACCCCACCTTGAGTATCATTTCTGCCCGGGTCATGCCTTTCACAACAATCTTAGTGTAACTGGCAGGTGCTTTCCTCACCACCTGTGACCCAATGGAAGGTAGATCGAGCAGGACCATCTTTAGGGAATGAGTGTCTAGCAGCAGCTGTGGGAATGAAGCAGAATATTACTAGCCATTTCACAGGGACACAACACTTAGTATATCTATGCTAATTAATATTATTTTCCTGATTTTAAAAAATACATTGGAGAGAATTTGGAAAATATACAAAAATATAAAAGGAAAAACATTCATTACAACTTCTATTGCCCAGGAGAAAACAAGGAAGACAAGGTTAAATGTGGTATATTCCTTTGAAAGTTGGTGAGTAGATCTTAAATGTTCTCACCACGAAACAGAAACGGTAATTATGTAATAGGATGAAGGTATTAACTAATGCTGTGGTGGTATTCATTTTGCAACATATGAATGTATCAAATCAACACACTGTATCCTTTATACTTATACAATGTTATATGTCAATTATATCTCAATAAAGATAAAAAAAGATGTGATACAATTCCTGCCAGTCTAGTTGTGTGTATAAAAAACTAAATTAGAGGGGTGTCTGGATGGCTCAGTCAATTAAGCGTCTGACTCTTGATCTCAGCTCAGGTCTTGATCTCAGGGTAATGAGTTCAAGCTCAGCATGGAGTCCACTTAAAAAAACAAACAAACAAAACTCACTAAGTTAGACTCATACTATATATACAGTTTTATAACCTGGTTTTCCCAGTTAATACTTCAGGTTTTTTGTGTTTTTCCATCTTGTCAGTCTTTTAAAAAAATCATGATTTTTAATGGTTATATATACTCTATGGTGTGTGTGTGTGTGTGTGTATGTGTGTGTATTTATTTATTTATTTAAAAGATTTTATTTATTTGAGGGAGAGAGAGAGAGAGAGAGAGAGAGAGAGAGAGAGAGAAAGCAAGCATGGGGAAGAGCAGAGAGAGAGGGACAAGCAGACTCTGCACTGAGCACAGAGATGGACGCAGAGCTGGAGCCCATGACCTGAGCTGAAATCAAGAGTTAGACACAACTGGCTGAGCCACCCTGGCACTCCTAGATTTTTATTATTATAAATAATGAGTGCTGTGGTGAACAACTATGTACATATTAATTCTAGGTCTATCAAAGGAATTTCCTTAAGGAAAGATCAAAAGATAAGGACATCATGTAAGGTTCTTGATACATATCTTAAACTGCTTTTCATTTTTTTTAATTTTTTTTTTATTTACGATAGTCATACAGAGAGAGAGAGAGGCAGAGACACAGGCAGAGGGAGAAGCAGGCTCCATGCACCGGATGCCTGACGTGGGATTCGATCCCAGGTCTCCAGGATCGCGCCCTGGGCCAAAGGCAGGCGCCGAACTGCTGTGCCACCCAGGGATCCCTTGAACTGCTTTTCAAATGGAATGTGTACCTATTCACACATCTGCCAGGAGTGTATACCCTCACCAGCACTGAAAACTGTCATAAAAATTTTGATTATTCAACAGGTAAAAAAATGGTAGCTCAGTACCGCTGTCTCCTCTCTATTTTTAAGTAAGCTCTATGGCCAAGTCATGACCCTGAGATCAAGAGTTATACATTTCACTGACTGAGCCAGCCAGGTACCCCAGTATTGCTGTATTTTTAACTTCTTTGGATGTTTTTGAGGATGTAGGAGATGAAGCCAAATTTAAACATCAGTATTTTGGTAAACATCTGCCTTTTCCTCTCTTCAGTCTTTTGTTCTCTCCTTCCCTCTGTTCTCTGGAGTGCCAATTATTTGGATTGGCATTCCATTATTTCCTGATTGCTCACCAACTGCCAAGAAACATGTTAGGAATGTTTCATCTCATTTTTTCTCTACAAGACGCTGTCCTATAGGTATTTATTGTTTCCATTTATAGATGACAAAGTCAAAGTTCTAGAGGTTAAGTAACTTGCTGAAAGTGTCTCACATCATGGACAGGGGTTAGATGATGAGGTGGACAGGAAGCTGTATTTCCATTTCCTGCTACCCTTGATATGTGCTCTAGAATAGTGCTGGCTTAGAGTTCACACTGTTTCCTGCTGACTCCACATATACTGCTAAGCAGCTGCTGCTACTGGCAACCAGGTGGCAGGGAAATGGCTGAAGCCTAGAAGGGCATGTAAACTCTGGCCTGTTCAGATAGTAGGAGATAGAATCACATACCCACCCAAGGTAGCGGTGGGGTGAGAGTCCTACTGGCATGGCCACCACCACTCTGATGATCAATCTTATGTTCAGGACAAGGCTGACTTTTTCTGCCACTGCCTGCTCCTCTCAGAAAGCCTTTCATAATTTTATCAAACAAGGATGGAATGGGATCCCTTAATGTCCTATGACGCTGCTTTCTCCCACTCTTCTGGTACTTGGCAGGAGAATTACCAACTAAAGATAAGATACACTCATTAATGAGAGACCCCGTTGACTTTTATTTTTTAAGATTTTATTTATTTATTCATGAGAGACACACAGAGAGAGAGAGAGAGAGAGGCAGAGACACAGGCAGAGGGAGAGGCAGGCTCCTTACCAGGAACCTGATCCCAGGACTCTGGGATCACAACCTGAGCCAAAGGCAGACATTCAACCACTGAACCACCCAGGTGCCCCAAGACACCACTGACTTAATGGTCATGTGATTATAATTTTGACAATGGTATAAAAGTTTGGTATCAATGTTTTACTTGGAATAACTTAGTAGAAATATTACTCTAAAGGGGAAAGGAGAAAGAATGAGTGGGAAATATCAGAAAGGGAGACAGAACATGAGAGACTCCTAACTCTGGGAAACGAACTAGGGGTGGTAGAAAGGGAGGTGGGTGGGGGGTGGGGGTGACTGGGTGACGGGCACTGAGGGGGGCACTTGATGGGATGGGCACTGGGTGTTATTCTATATGTTGGCAAATTGAACACCAATAAAAAATAAATTTATATAAAAAAGAAATATTACTCTAAGAAAATGGTGAGGTCTTGACAAACTGATTCTAAAGTTTATATGCAGAAGCAAAAGACCCAGAATAGTCTTTTCATATTATTGAAGAGAGAGAACAAAGTTGGAGGACTGATACTACCTTATTTCAAGATTTATTATCTTATAATCTCAGTAATCAAGGCAGTGTAGTATCGGTGAAAGAAAGGCAAATAGCTCAATGGAGCAGAAGACAAGAGTCCCCACAAATAGAGTCACCAGATCTTTCACAAAGGAGCAAAGGCAATACAGTGGAGCAAAGGCAGTCTTTTCAACAAATTGTGCTAGAACAAATGGACATCCACATGCCAAGAAAATGGATCTAGACATGGACCTTCCACTCTTCTCAAAAATTCAGAATGGATCACCAACCTAAATACCTAAATGTAAAACCCAAACTTAGAAAACTCCTAGAAGATAATAAAGGAGAAAACATAGATGACCTTGGGTATGGTGATGATTGTTTATACACAACACCTGTGATCCATGAATGAAGTCAGTGATAAGCTAGACTTCATTAAAATGAAAAACTTTAGGGATCCCTGGGTGGCTCGGTGGTTTAGTGCTTGCCTCCATGATCCTGGAGTCCTGGGATCGAGTCCCACATCAGGCTCCCTGCATGGAGCCTGCTCCTCCCTCTGCCTGTGTCTCTGCCTCTTTCTCTCTGTGTCTCTCATGAATAAATAAATGAAATCTTAAAAAAACAAAACAAAACAAACTTCTGCTCTGCAAAAGACAATCTCAAGGGAATGAGAAGACAAGCCACGGACTGGTTAAAAATATTTGCATTAAAAAAATATTTGCAAAAGACATGTCATAAAGGACTGTTACACATAAAATATACAAAGAAATCTTAAAACTCAACAATTAGAAAACAAGCCAGTTTAAAAATGGGCCAAAGACCTTATAGACACCTCATGAAAGAAGATACACAGATGGCAGATAAGCATGTGTAAATATGCTTCACATTATATGTCACCAGGGAAACACAAATTAAAACAAGATACCACTACACATCTATTAGAATGGCCAAATATTTGGAACACTGACAACACCAAATGCTGATGAAGAGGCAGAGCAACAGGAACTCTCACTCATTGTTGGTGAGAATGAAAAATGGTACAGCCACTTTGGAAGATAGTTTGGTGGTTTCTTATAAAGTAAACATACTCTTTCCATACAACCTAGCATAGTGTTCCCATGTACTTACTCAAAGGAGTTGAAAACTTATGTCCACACAAAAACCTATACATATATGTTTCTAACAGGTTTATTCTAATTGCCAAAAACTTGGAAGCAATCAAGTAGCCAAATAAACTTTAGTAGCCTTTAGTAGCCAAATAAACTGTGGTAATCCAGACAATGGGAGTATTATTCAGTACTCAACCAGAAAAGAGCTATGACGACACAAAAAGACATGGAGGAACTTTAAATGCATATTACTACGTGAAAGAAGCCAATCTGAAAAGGTTACATGCTGTATGATTACAACTATATGACATTCTAGAAAGGGTAAAACTATGGAAAAAGTAAAAAGATCAGTGGTTGTCAGGAATTGGGGGTGGTGGTGGGATAAATAGGTAGAGTGCAGAGGATTTTTAGGGCTATGAAACTACAATATCTGATACCATAATGATGGATTCATGTTATTATACATTTGTCTGAACCAGGAGTATGTAACACCAAGAGTGAACCATAATGTAAACTACAGACTCTGAGTGATGATGATGTGTCAATGCAGATTCAGTAATTTTAACAAGTGTATCAATGTGGTGCAAGATCCTGACAATGGGTAAGAGGCTACACTTTTGTGGGGGCAGGGAGGCATACAGGAACTCTCTGTACCTGTCCTCAGTTTTGTTGTGAGCCTTAAGCTGCTCTAAAAAAATAAAGCCTTAATTTAAAAAAATTGGTGAGGAAGCTACACTAAGGAAAGAGTAATTCCATGCAGTAATGTGGCTAGTCATTTCAACTGCTAGGATCTTGGACTCTTTTTGGTTTCCAGAGATGAAAATTCTTATTCTCCTAGTACCTGTTTTTTGAAAAGTCCTTGGGCTTTTTTTTTTTTAAGATTTTATTTACTTATTCTTGATAGACACACAGAGAGAGGCAGAGACATAGGC